GCTCTGAGGCCACAGAATTAGTCCCATCCTGCACCAGGAGGGCACTGTGGATCTCCGTGAGGGTGTGTGATCCTTGTGGCCAGCTCCTTTCCTCCAGCCATGTAGCCCTGGACTTGTCTTTGATGTTTAATTTCTGTTCTGCAGAGCACATAACTCAAGTCTGGATCATCTGACCCGGAATGTACTTTAAGAAGTCATGGGTGATGTGCAGATCTCCCCTGCCTGTACTTAGACCTCCGCCCTGAGCCACCTCAGGTTTTATCTGTCCCTGTCCTCAGTCTTGTAGTGTTTCTTATTCCTGCACACATTTTTTTCCACGAATTTGTCCTTCTCTCTCACTAAGAACTTAGGTCTCCTTTCTGCCCTTCTCTTGCACCCAATTCTCCCTTCTCAGTAGCTCAAAATGACTAGACTCTGAGATCAGAGAAAGGGATAGTCAAGTAGACCCTGCCAGGGGTTGGAAGTTGGAAGGAGTGCTTAAGGATGCTGGGGACCAGCCAGGATGTAGCTCAGTGGCGCCTCACCTGCCTCACAAGAGCATGGTCCTGAGTTCAAGCCCTGCACCTGAGAAAGAAAGAAAAAATAAGGGATGGTGAGTAACACAAGTTGATGGTTATGGCCATATATTATTAATCGATAGCTCAGAACACTCTGCTGTCCTATCTTGCTCACTATTTTTAACCAATGACATAAATTAAGGGAGATAAACGGGAATGTTGTATAGAAATAAAAACTTCCATCGATAAAAAGAACCCAACATGAATACACTTCCACACTGTAGCAGCATCCATTGGCAGAACCTTTTGGAGAAAACATCTTCATAAAAACAAGACTTTAGAAGACTCTAACATCAGTCAGGCAAAGGAACATTATGGATATAAAGTATTTTACACCATAAAACTTAAGTGTAGAATTTTACGCATTACAAATAAAATGTGTATTCTTCTTGTACAAGTCAGAAAAAAATGGATGTTTTTAGCTACAGAGCAAAGGGTGGTAGATTCCAAAGCATAAAGACCTTACCAGTGCATTCCCTTGCTATAATGCAACAAAACCAGAAACCAGTAATTTCTGTATTTTAAAAATTATCTTCTAAATTACCTTCAGATAAATCATAAAAACCATAGATTATTTACCTTAAATTCTGCAGTATGCTAAATTTGAGACACCAGAAGAATTTAGGAGGTCATTTCATACGTCACATGGCCAAGGGGGCCCCGCTGCAAAGAGACAAACTGAAGGCTGAACTGGACTGGTGACCATGAAGTCTAACTCTGGAGATGTTCATCTGTGTCCAGAAAGCCAACAGCAGAAGCACAGAAGGGGGAGGTATGATCGAGTAGCACAATCTTTAAAGCAGAAATGATCACACAGAAGTAAGATTTAGAGGTTTTATTTAACAAATGTGTCCCCATCCATGAACCACGGTGCGGCTGCCTAGGAAAGTCTGTGTGACTCTGGACGGCACGAGTGGACACGAACCGCCTGGGTCGGGAGAGGCCCTGGCTCAGGTCTGCTGTGATTGCGCTCGAACCCGGGGCACTGCGTCTGCACTCCCTGGCTTGGGAAAGATCGTAAGAGCCCGTTCCGAGGAGTGAAGGAAGCCCCACAGACTCACGAAATAAGTCAAGGAAAGAGGATGACGCACCGCTGGATGAAGCAGGGAAGCTTGGCCTGAACTTGCGCTCCTCAGATATTCGGAGAGCGTTCAGACAGCAGGGGTGAGGTCATTGGAGGACAGAGTTCTGGGAGTCAGAATATTCCAGCACAGAAGCTCCGCTCAGAGCGAGCGAGCTCCCCCGTCACCAGAAATGTTCTAGCCTAGTTCGGTTAAATAGTGGGTGCAGGTGTTGTGGCAAAGCTTGTGACCTTGGGAAAAGGAGACAGGTGAATCGGACAAACCTTCCAACCCCAAAACCTTCAGTTCTGGAATCTCATGTCCTGCCAGGGGGCAGGAGCTGCTGAGCTTGGTACACAGAGTTTTGAATAGAGTTGTTGCTGTTCTTCATTAGCATTTTGAGCACAGGGCCTGGAGGTAACACAGGGATCTGAGCATTTGTAGCCCAGTGGAGACAGCCCCAACCCAGCTGAAACCCCAAATGGTTCGGGACTGTTGGAAGTTAAACTTGAAGTGGCCAGATGGAGACGTAGGGAGTCAAGCAGTTCAGACAAGGGGCTGGCAAGGGTTGGGAAGATGAGGGCTCCTCCTGGAGGAGACTCCAGAGTCTGTCTGTGCACACTAGGCAGTGTGAGTGGCTTGGGAAATGATGGTGATGGAGATGTGCATGGTAAGCAGACATGATGGGGGTCTCTTTCCTTGGAGGGCAGAATACAGCGCCCTTGGCTGGCACATGGCTCGCTGCACACGAGGTCTTTTCAGAGGCCTCTCACTGTTCCACTGCACAGCCACCGCTGTCCCTGCAGACTCAGCTCCAGCTCTGTGCTTCCTGCTCACATGCCCTGCGTCACTCACAGCTGCTCTGACAGGCACTTTTATTGACTAAGCTTTCTCTGCACCTTCTGATCACCTCTGAGCCTTTCTAACCACAGCTGCCCTTCATTCTTGAAACTAAGACCTTCCCCCTCCCAGAGAGCCTACAGTCCCAGGAGTGAGCAGTCCCTTGCTTGGGTCTCGGGCGTGGTGGTTCTGAGCACTGGTCACCTGCACTCTTCTGCTGACTCGTTCTGACAGTTGGGGGAAGGAGCAAAGGGCCAGTGCAGCCCCGGAAGAAAGAGGTCAGAGCACTTCCCAAGGGCACCCCAGGAAATGAGCTGGTCCTGGGATCAGGGGTCAGGACTGGAGTCTTCTGACAGCGAGCTGGCTTAGCAAGGTGTTGGTGGGAGCAGTTTCGTAACAGCCCCCATTCCCAGGAATGTGTGTTCCGACCCAGGCTTGTTCCAATGCTGCTCAGCCTGGCTGGTATTTCCAAAGATCGGCTGGAATGAGACTGGGGGGCCCAGGGTCACTGAGGCCCACTGAGGTCCCAGGGCCTCTTCAGAGTCCATCTATGCTTTGGGAGCAAGAGACAGCTGAAGGCACAGTCAGAGGCTCTGTCTGCCTTCCTCCGACTTGTCTTACAGTAGTTGTAAAATAACTTAATTCAGGGGAAGCAAACTGGTGTGTGAGCATGAAAAATGGAGAGTATTAATTTAATCTAGTAAGTAAAACTTGGAGCAAAATTAATATTATACATTTAATGATATCATAAAAGTAGTGCCCTGCCTGGTTATTAGGCAGAAATGTAAACAGTTTTCTTGAATGGCTGTAATTAATATTGCTTTAGCACAGCCAAATCAATTTTTAAGTTGCTCTCAGCTCACTTCATTAGTTCTATATTAGAATTTGTGTCGTTGGAATCACTATGTAAAGTTTTTCTTAATACTATTTGCTGCCTAGCATCTGAGATTTTCAAACACAAAAAGGTAGATCCAGAGGAAACCAGCTTGCTCTCTGAAGGGTCGCGTCCAGTTCTGATTTGAAGGAGACCCTACCCAAGAACATGGACCTTTTCCTCTGAGTTTCCCTCTCAGAATTTCTTTTAGTTTCATGCATTAGCTGACAGCAAGAGCAGCACACTCAAGCATCTGTTTTATTCTTGGCCAAAAATACTTGTTACACTGGGGACCACAAACATCATGCTACAGACGGGCCCAGCTGGTGGGAGTCCTGGAGGACTGTCATCTCCTGCTGAGCACATCCGAGGCTATTGGCGAATAATTGCTGAAAGTCAAGTTTCTTGAGGGCATGGCCAACAGCGGACACTCAGAGGCTCGTGCTCCACTGTGAGAGCCCCAACCTTGGAGTCTCACGCACTTCCGGAGTGTAGGTCCAGCCCATGGTTTCTGTAGAATTGGAAAGAGGCTGTCGAGATGGCTCCATCACTGCTGAGCCATTCACCCTACGGGTGGCAAGCGAGGAGGGGACTGCAACTGGGCAATGGCAAAGCCTTGGACAGCCAGATAGTCCAGACTTGGGTTGGGGCCCCAAGTGGCCATCGGAGGAAGGGGTAACTGATGGGGTCTCAGGAGAATAACTGCAGTCCCATCCTTTATGTTGTGTTCAGAAATCTCCACAGTGCCTATTAGAACTGAGAACCTGGCCGTTTCCTCTAGGATTGAGGTCTCTTGAATAAAGGGCAGAGTGGCGTTCACCTTAGAGTTTAGTACAGCAGGTTACACACTCAAACAGGCATGGGGTGCTGTGATACCACCAGCCTGTGCACAGACCTGGAGCTCTCTTAACCAGACAGGGAGAGGACTGGAATGGAGGCCAGAGAGAGGGTCCCCCACTCTCTGTGTGGTCAGGGGGAGGATGCACATGTGCAGTTTCCTGGGATTAGTGACACTCTGACTACTGATATTCAGCTTCAGGTCAAATGCTAAGTCCAGGTCCTTCCTGTTTGGCTCCAGAGGAATGTTAGAAGGAGACTCCACTAACAGAGACAGAGGGGAGCAGGAAATGGTCATCCCAGGGAAGATATGCACACCTTTATAGGCAGGGATGCGGAGGTGGCATCATCATCACGGGATCTTCTGAGACGTGGATACACAGACTTCAGAGCATGATTTCAGGGACCATACAGTGACAACACAGTGTCAGAGTGCTGACATAGACAGATGGAGACAGCTTCTGAACCAGAAATGAGATTAACCACAATGTTGAACAGGAGAGAAACCCACCCCATGACTTCAGGCTGTCTGTGAGCACGGGGATCAGGGAAGCAGGGGCGGTGAGTCTGGCAGAGGCAAAGCCTCCGAATTAGCACAGATAAGGAATCGGCATCCAGGGTGGCTGCACCCAGCAGTGCGTGGATAGCTGGGGTGTGGTGGTGGGCCATGGGTGAGCTGCTGAAGGTGGGGTGTCCAGCTGGGCCTCCGGGCTCCGCGTCCCTGTCCGCTCAGCTGTGCTGAGGGGTACATGCTGCATTCACCCCAGAGCTGCACTGGAGAACAGGGGTCTCAGTGCCAACCCATCACACCCTCCTCTGCCATCTCTGCAGGAAAATTGTAGCTTATGATGAAGAAATCCAGCATCTCTATGAGGAGATGGAACAACAGATCAAAAGCGAGAGAGAGCAGTTTCTCCTGAAGGTGAGTGTCCACCCTCCTGAGGGCTGGCTGGGCTGACGCTTCCACACTGACTGCCTCCCCCAAACGTGAGGTCACAGTGCCTCCAACAGCACCGTCAGTTTTTCCTCTGCTCTATTATTCTTTTTCAAGTCACCTTTGAACACCGCACATCATGTACTTGTTTATTTGTATTCTTATCTGCTGCCTCATACCAACATAGAAGCTCCATGAAAGTGGGGATCTTTATCTTTTATTTACTGATGTAGCCTCAGCTCCTAGACCATGCCTGGAACATGTCAAGTGTTCAACAAATATTTGTTCAATCAGTTGGTGAATGAACAGGTGGATGGAGGCATGGATGGATGGACAGATGGATGGACAGATGGGCAGATGGATGCAGTAAATGCTGTATCAGTAAAGTGACCTAGAAGTTGGTTCTGACACTGGCTGTATCAAGGATCCATGTAAACACACCAGCCCCATTTCACACCATGCCCTGTAGCTCTCCCCAGGGGTTGATCATTAGCACCCAGGATGCCCATCTCATCTCCTTAGATGCCTGGAAAATGTCATCACCAAGAAGAGCAAACTACCATGCCCAGATACATGGGAGGAAGCATGACAGTCACACCCCTGTTCCTGGTCTGGCACACATTCAGCCCCTCTCCTAGTCCTGCTTTGTCTCGAGGTCAGGATTGGTGAAATTCTCTACTTAACCAAGCTAAGTAAGATCTTTTTTGGATCATATTCATTTTTTAAAAGCTACAGGAAACTCTATTATCCATTTAAGACTATTCACTTGGTGAGTTCTCTGCAGAAAAGCCTTTGAGCTTGACCTGCGGCTTCCTGTACCTCTCAGCACCAAGCCTGCAGTGTGAGCCCAGCCCCTTCCCTTGAACCAAGTTTTAATCACATGTTGCTTTGGAGTATCCTCACCACCACTGCATTTAGTATTGCATATGCCACTCAAATGGAGAGGGAATTGGAAAAACCCAGCTATGTCCTCCAGCCAGAGCCTCTGGAGCTTGTCAGCATTTCAGGATCCCTCATGTTCTCCTTGAAAGCTGAGTCCTTCCGGGTGCCCCTGAACTTCAGTAAAGCTCAATTGCATGCAGCAGACAGAGCTCACACGTTGCATTGGCAAACCCACAACAGTTTCCGACAGCCTCAGCCTCCCTTGCCCTGTGACAAGAAGCCACCCCTTCATCCCAAATGACGCCCTGCACAGAAGGAACAGGCTTTGGGGGCATTTGCCCTTCTGCCTGGAGCTGTGACTACATGTTGAAGACAAGCTTTCAGAAGCAAAAGACAGGCTGGGAGCAGAGGCTGGGAGTGGCTGGAGGGCAGAGGAAAACACTCAGGGGCAGGTTAGTGACCCTCGGGATGGGCTGGCTATGATGCTGTGCCCCTCAGCTCTCCCCTTCTGCTTCCTCATTCTCAGATACTCAGAGAACTCAGGGCTTGGGCTTGTGCTTTTGACAGGAGCATGGAAATGTGTACGATTGTCTTCCACAGTGCCGTTAAGCCTTGCAAAGTCTAGGGATAGTGCCATTTCAGTTTACAGCATCATGAAAAAGGCTGGACACTCCGGCCAGGGTTTGGATCCTTGTTCTGCACTTAGCCAACGGAGGTACTTGATCATGTGCACCCTAGAGTCCCGGCAGGTATCCTGTCCAGAGTTCTGCCCTGGGTGGGGGCTGACACCTGGAACAGGCCCTTTGCAGGGAATGCAGCGTCTTGCTGTCCCCACGATGTCTGTGGGATGCTTGTTCCTTGAGAAGCAGCCATGTGGAACACGGCAGGTTTCCTGATGCTGATTCTCCAGAAACACGGGGGGAGCAAGAGCTGTCTGATCACATGCTGCCTGGTTAAAATGAGGGTGGCCACGGGCTGGTGGTCCCCATCTACAGACAAGGGCCTGAGGAAGCCTCACCGAGGAAACCTCACCAGTGTCCAGAGGCTGTGAGCCTGGGACAGCAGCACCACCCTCAGCTGCTGCCAGCATCATTCCAACCTCCAGCCAGGGCCTCCTGTCCATCCTTGGAAAGGGGGCTGTCCCTCCCATGGGGACCTGAGGGTGCTCCAGGACAGAGAATAGGGGATTTAAAGGCTTCTTTTCTTGCATATTTTATACCTCTGTTCTCCTTCTGGCAAGTGAAGGGCCACAGGAAGCCTGAGTATTTTTGTTTTTTTCCCTTTGGGGTATTAGGGATGGAACCGAGGGCCTTGCCTGTGCCAGGCAACTGCTCTGCCACCAGTCCCATCCCAGCCTGAGGATTTTGTCTCTCATCCGTGAATGATCCAGAAGCAGCTCAGCTGGATGATGCAGGCTGGAGCCCACCTCCCCAGTGCCAGCTCAGGCCTTCCTCCAGGCATGAACCCCCATGCCTCACTTCTGCACCTTTTGAGCCTCAGCATCTCAGCAGGGGTCCAGGGAGGAGGGCAGACATCAGGGGCCGTCACGTGGTGGTGGGGATTGTGAGCACACCCACCCTCACCATGGCCATGCCCCTGTGTTTGCAGACACAGGCGGCTGCAGGGATCCAGCATTGGACTGGGAACAGAGCATCCAAACTGGAAGAGGCCCCCAAAGCCGTCTGCTCCCCTCTACCCAATATAGGATGAGCTGAAGCCTCGAGTGCCACACGACCCTGGGCTGTTTCCCAGAGGGTCGCTGGGGACAGTGGAGGGGTGGGCTACAAGCCATGCTCACGGTCCCTCACCGTGCTCTGTCTGAGGTCCCCCATGTCCCTTCTGGCACTTGGCAGGACACAGAGAGGTTCCAGGCCCGCAGTGAGGAGCTGGAGAAGGAACTGTTTGCCAAGGAGCAGGAGCTGGAGCTGCTCAGCCAGAAGCAGAGAACGGTAGGCTGTCATCGTCCTCGAGTCTGGCCTCCCTGGTGTTCGCCTGCTTTCCGTGCCACTCCCAAAACTTTTTGTTCACTCTGAGAAGGGTCATGGGGCTCTACAAGGTCCCCCAGGACTCCCAGGAAAAGGCCTCTCCAAGGCCTGGCTTCTGACTTGGGAAAGCCATCTCAGGTGTTTTCACACAGTGGCACCAGGGCTCGGAGGCTCAGGGAGCTGCGTGGTCCCCACATTTGAAAGGAAGCAGTGGATAGGTCCCTCCCTCTGCAGGGCCAGGAGATGTCCAGCCGGACAACCCTCCTGTCTGCCGCAGACTTGGACATTTCATCGGGCCATTTGTTCTGCTCTGCATCAGCCCGGGGGCACAGACCCCACACCCTTCTCTGAGGGCGCTGGCAGCTCCGTGGTGGGTTGCCGGCTGGTGGCCCTGGAAGACTTGCTGCCTGGGCAAGCGTCGTGCCCGCTGGACTCCTCCTGAGGCAGGCGTGCGTGGATGGGATGGGCACGGGGCAAGCTCCTGTGTCCTTTCACCTGGTCCAGGGGACTCTGCTTCCAGAGAGCCAACCAGACACTGCTCCCCGGGACAGAGAGGGCTGTACTTAGCAGCACATTAAAGCAAGCCTGGAGACAACCCTGCAGAGGGGGACGTCCCGCTACTGCTGCCACCCAGGCTGTGGATTTCAGGTCTTTCCTTTCTGCAGCAAGGCGATGGCAACTGCAGATCTGCCTGCTGCCTTCCTGTCCCCAGTCCACATTCACATCTCGCTTCTCCTCGCCTCCTACTATGCACTAAATTCCTAGCAATTACATTTCCCCCTCATATGAATGATTGCCACTCGATTTAATTACCGCACACTTGCCTGATCACACAGGAGCCTCTTGAGAGCCACACCAAATCCTTGCTGTTGCTTTCTCCTTCCTTTACTGGCCACATTCATTAGTGAGATTTATTATGATTATTTGCCTTGGTGTGGTTCTTCCTCTAGTGCGATGCATTGTCACAAGAAAAAGCTGAAGCCATCAAAATGTGGGTTTTTAGTTGCTTTGGGAACATGAGGAAACATTTGGGGCCTGTTAGACGAGCTTTAGTTATTGCCTAAGAATTTACAGGGCTTCTGGTTGCCATACAGAGATCTTTCTTATGTTTTTAAAATTAAAAAAAGTGGATTTATTTAGCTGAGAGGAGGTAAGGGAATAAATAAAGTTGCTGTCACCAGGCACAGTGGGGAAGGCTGGCTTTAGCAAGATGCCACTTAGCTGTGCTGCATCCCATCAAGGACTATGGGGAAGCAACTGGCTGAGGACTGAGGAAGACTGAGGAGATGGAGGGTAGACGGTACTGACTCCAGGACGAGAGACGCATGTGGACTGTGGGGTTCCTTTGCTAGTGGTGTGTTTGTTTGTTCATGGCTCTGGTCACGGAGCCTGTGGCCCAGGGGTTGGCAAGCGCCCTGTCACCAAGTTGCACCCTGCCGTGTGGGCCTGTGGAGTGGGTGGCTCCCCTGGCTCGGTCATTGGATCCTAGGCAGAGAGAGGAGAAGAGTGCCATGAGCTCCGAAGGCTCCCTCCTGCCAGCAGAGGTCTGAGTGTTGGGAGGGAGCGGGCAGTGCTGGTTTCAACTTGAGTCAGGGACAGTCCCGCCCTTTCATGGGAGAGTAGGGAGTGGCTGGGCTGGCCAGCTGCCTCCTGGTGGTCTCTTCTCACTCCTCTCTCCCACTGCTTTCCAGCTGGAAGGCCAGTGTGAGGCCCTGCACCACGACAAGCATGAGACCAAGGCCGAGAACACCAAGTTGAAACTCAGGAACCAGGGGCTGGCACAGGAGCTGGAGCGGGTCTCTAGAGAGCTGCAGGATGCACAGCAGCACCTGGGGAGCCTCCAGCAGGAGGCCTGCAGGCTGCACCAGGAGAAGGAGATGTGAGTCGGTCTCTCCCCGCCTCGAGCTTCTGGCATGCTGCACGCTCCCAGGCACTGCCCTGCCGGGGGAGTGGGGTGGGCCCACTGCTTGGGGCTTCTGAGCTTCTAGACCCTGAGGCCCTTAGACTGTGTGGTGCTAAGCACTGCCTGGGCCTGAACTAGACAACTTGGGAGGGTGTTAACGTGCTGTCCGTCAGGGACGCGTGGTACACTGAGAGCAAATGCTGTGTGAGCGGAGCACGGGTGCCCGTCACAGTTGTAAGACCTGGGGACTGGGAGGAGGGAAGGAGGCTTCTGCTTGGCAGATGACCTGGCAGGTTTGTGGCAGGGCTCGGACTCATCTCTGCAGTTCTGTCCATTCTCCAGCAGTGTTTTCCTATGAGACATGGGGCCCAGGTGCATGGCTGGTTTGCCGTGAAGGTGCTGTAGGGCCAGTCACTGGCTGGGTGAGGCCCAGAGAGCAGGAGTCCACTGCTGATCGTACTGGGGAGCGTGAGGCAGCAGTCTCAAGCCCAGGGCGGGAAATGTCAGGATTTGCCCACTGTCACCTGGCACGGCTGCTGTAAGTCTCCACGCCTGGCACCACACAGGGCCTTCGACATCACCCTTAAGTCTGGGCTTCCACAGCCCCCCAAGAGACTGTCTAGCATCTTGCTGCAGTTGGTACTGTTGTTCTCAACTTTGATGCACACGGGCAGAAACCAAGGTCAGACGTGCTGAGCGACAGCCCCAGGGTGCTCAGTGCCTGCCTGGCATCCCAGAGCTAGCTGGAAGTACAAATGTGTTTCCACACTTGGTCCCTCCTCTCAGGCCTCCGTCCTCCTGCAGCACCCTTGAGAGGCCACGCCTGAAGGGGCCTGGGTGCCCATGTCTGATGGCAGGGTAGGGGTCGCAGCACACCCCTGCACTCAGAGTTCTGCAGCTTAGGTGCCCTCTTGCAGAAGTGAAAACCCTGCCCTGTCTACCTGCTGGCAAGACCTGGGCACCAGGCCCAACACAGGGCCACACCCCTGGGTGGGTGGGGAAGGTAGCAGGCAGGAAACATGTCCAGTCTGGGAATTTGACCCAGTAAGATATTTCAAGCTTAAAGGAAAAAGAAAAGATTCCCCAAACAAAACCAGGACCTTCTGTCCCAATTCTTGGATGGCCACTTGTAGAAAGAACGTGTGTTCCACTGTGAGTAAGCAAAGCAACAACCACAAGGCAACAAGGTTCAGGCGCAGGAGTAAGAACAGAAGGAAGGATTCCAGCTCTTCAACTTCAGTCAAGTTCCTAAAGCAGCAGACATCTGAAGACAGGAGAATCAGGACAGCAAGCGGGAGTAAACAGTGCTGGAGAGGGGCTCAGCACGAGGACACAGCCTTCTAATTCTCGTCTTAACCAAGCCAGGCCCTCAGTCTGAGGAGAGCAGCGGGCAGGGAGGGGCGCAGGGCCCTCAAGCTGCATGCTCTTCCAGGACTCAGAGCATGGTGGCCCTGAAAGTTGTGGCCGCCCAGAGGGGTGGCCCACCCGGGGAAGCCCAGACCCAACTTCCTCCCCACGGACGGAAGCACAGAGCCAGGCTCCTGGCAGGACCCTAATGTTCACTCTGCTGCCTTCATTTGTCCAGGGAGAAGCTGAGGCTGAGCAGTGCAGTGACCAACCCAAAGCCCAGCTGGTCTTCTGGAAGCTGGGCAGTCGTCCTTCCCAGCCTGCGAGTCCCCTGAGGGCGCTGCCAGAGCTGAGCCCCTGCAGAGCAACTGGGAGAGTAGAGGGGGTGGAGAGTAAACAGACTTAATCATTTCCCAGCAAGAACTCTAGACAGGCAAAATTAATTCTCCTGTCATCAGAGGATGCTCAAGTAGGAGAACTAGATCTTCAAATGAGATAAAGAAAGAACCGCAAGCAGAGATAACGGAGAGATGGAGGTTGGGAAGAGCCCGGCACTGTTTTTGATTAAGTTATTTGGATAGGCGATTTACAGCGGCGAGGCATGGCAGGATGAAAGTTGGAAAATGGTCCTCACCACCCTCTACCTCAGCCCCTCAGCAGGGCCCAGTCAGTGTCGCAGAGTGAACTGGAGCAGCGCACGCGTGCTCTCTCTCACACACACACTGACGCGTACTTGGTGCAGCTCACACATGCACACCGCACGCAGTTTTTCTTTACAACAGAGCGAGCACACTGCTCTGCTTCGCCTCTGTCCTTCCTTGCCGGGGTAGTTTGCAGAGCCCCCGGTGTTTCATCTCCTCCTGAAAATAAGCCCAGCAGCTCCTCCCTAAGGGAGCCATAACACTCTCGCCAGTGACCACACTGAGCCGGCGGATCCTCCCAGGAGTGGCTGCTGGCGCTCTGGGTTAGAGGACTGTGAGGGCCACATGAGGGCTCCATCAGCGGAGCCTTTCTTTTGCCAGCAGAAAGCTGTGTACATCTGCATAGATGCGTGCTCACCAGGTGTATATGTGCACACGTGTCCGCGTGTGAATGTCTTGCACGTAAGTGTGGTCGTGTGGCTTCCTCTGGTCGCTGGTGCCACAAACGGGATGAGGAGACCCTGAAGGCCTGCCATTTAGGAGCTGGCCTGCCCCACCCTGAGAACCCAGGCCTGGGCCGCCGAGCACCTCTTCCCCAGCCGGATAAAACGGCTGGCACTGGTGAGCAGGTCACGCAGTCCCAGCGGGGCAGGCACCCACTTGGTAAGGGGAAACCTATTGTCTTCCCTACGCTGAAGTTAAGTATAACTGGCAATCAAATGACGGCTGTGCAGGAGGGTGGTTATCAGGGCCAGGTGGGCTCAGGAGGGAGGTTCAGCCTGTACTTGTCCTGGAGCAAACCCACCATCATTCTGTAAAGGGAAGTGGAGGACACAGACGCCTGGCAAGGAGCTGGTTTCTTGGGTGCTAGGCGAAGCCCTGGAACCAATCTGCTGGTTCTGCCGGCACCCTCGGGCCGGGACACAGCCTGCCAAGCACAGGCTGCAGCACCTGGCTGGGCTGGGCTATGGCGCCTGTGTGGGACTGGGTGGCAGGGGCACTTCCAGGCCAAGGCTCAGAGCCAGAGTGGGAAGCAGGCGGAGTGCAGGGCGGAGCAGGCTCACACTGGTTCACTGCGCCCCACCCCGCTTCTCCAGAGGTCCTGAAGGCCTCCCCCTGCCTTTCTCCCTCCATCCTGTCCTTCCTCCTCCCTTCTCCTTCCCTGCTTTTCCCCTGTCCTCCACTCTCCTGTCTCTGTCCTCTCCTTCTTCCCTCCCTTTCCTTTTCATCCTGTGTAGTCTGGGCCTGTGTTGAAGGGCAGAGCACAGTATGGCTCCCAGCCTTGGCTGCCCTGTGCCACCCTGTGCCAAATAAGCGCAGTTGGTACATTCACCCTACATTATAGCCAGAGAAAGGAAATCCTGTCAATAGTGGAAAACTCCAGATGTTTAGGAACAGGTGGGGACTTTGGGGGGAGGCAGGGAAGGGACAGTGACTCCCAGATCATCTGAGACCATATTGATGTCCCTCCTTGGAGCTGAGATGCAGGAGTCTGGGACAGACACACAGGTGCCCCCAGCCACAGGTGGGCAGGTGGGGCTGTGGAAGAGGCGGGCTCTGGAAACCACAGTGTGGTGGAGGCCTGGGCTCAGTGTGGGACGTCTGCACCACAAGCTTCCTGTCAGTTGGCACAGTGGAGCCGCTCCCACCTCCCTCCCCACGCCCTCATCTCTCTGTCTGCTGCTCCCCAGGGAGGTGTACCGCGTGACGGAGAGTCTGCAGCGGGAGAAGTCGGGACTCCTGAAGCAGCTGGACTTCCTCAGGTGGGTCAAGCGTGTCCAGATGCCTCGGGCAGAAGGGCACTGGAAGTCAAGAGGTCCCCAGTGTGTGGTTGGACCGCGGAGCGCCACTCCCTTGGGTGTTTGCTGAGCTTAAACACTCGCCCGCACCCCTGTACAGTTTGTGCTGTTTGTACAGCTCCACCTCAGTCTTGTCATCTTGCATGGAACATGCTCAGGTCAGTCTCCACCTGGCCTTAGTGAGCAACTGCTCTGGGCCCACTGTACTATCTCCTTGTCTGCAGCCAGACTGCTAGGTGGGTAGAGCGGCTGTTAGGACAGGAAGTAACTGTGAAGGAAGCTGGCAGTAGTAACTCCCTACAAGCCAGCAGCTCCTCAGTGAGTCAGGATCGAGATCCGTGGCTGGCTCCCCTTTGTACCCAGCCTACTCCACTCCTGTTTTCGGGATAAGTAAACAAATCGCAAACAGCAAACAGCACCAGGAAGGAGTTTCCTCAGCTTTCTAATGCTCGCCGAAATAAATTCAGAGTTCACTGATCTGGAATGTGCTAAAAAACAAAGGGAGTCTTGTGGAGAAGGAGGGAATTTTCAGTTTTGCAGATGAGGTCCCACAGTAGGGCCAAATCCGGCCCTGCTGATCACCTCCTGGGGAGTAGAGACACAGATGGCCCTGGGTTCAATTGTCTGGAATCACTTCCTAGGTCCGATCCAGAGTTTGGGGGCTTTATGACGCCCCTGCGTGGATCAGTGAGGAGCGAGCGGGCAGCAGGAGGGCTGGGCAGTCACCTTTTGACCGTGGAAAGACAGTCTTGGTTCCTAGGCAAGCTTTCATATGAGGGAGAGAACTGGATTATGAGGACAAATTATTTATTCGGTTTTCTTTTTATCTGTTGTACTTGGAAGAAAATAAAGGGGCCGACCCTAAGAGAATGGCGAAGCAGCACTGCAGACACTCTGGGCTTCTTCCTGGAGGCCGGACTTTCTGTGCAATGGTGGGGTGACTGGGCAGAAGCTGAGATGTCAGGATGGAGGCCACGAGGGCGGCTCCCCCAAGGCAGTGACATTCTGGGAGGCAACTGTGGGGGGGTGTGGGCGGGGCAGGCGGCAGTGGTAGGGGTCAGGAAAATGGCTGGAAGGTGACAGCAGCACACGAGCAGGGGCAGCTTTCAGGGTCTGAGGTTGGGAATACGGACTGTGGGGCAAGGGCTGCTGGGAACCTTCGGCAGATGATGCGGCCAGCTGGGGTCTGAGCTTCCTCACAGTCACAGACCTCTGAGAATTAGACAGTGTCCGACAGGCCGTGACCTGTGAACAGAGACACTCGAGGCATTCCTATGGCTGCTGCAGTTTCTACCTGGCTGCATGAAGCAGGGACAGCACAGACCTCTGCCCCCGGAGCCCTCGCCTGGACACGGGGCTGCTGACTTCCCCCACCCCGGGCAGTTCCTTCTGCACGAGGGTCTCCGGTGATCCGCTGGGCTTGTGGAACACCTCAAACCCCTTGACTCACCTGGAGGTCTTCCCTGAGGCCCCTCCTGACAAGTGTCCCAGAGTGAATGCCTGGACCCAGGACTTCCCAGTGAGTGGCTGCGTTGTGGTGACCAGAGCCTGGCCTCCACGGGCTTCCCTTCCCTTCCAAAGTGTGGACTGGTTCAGAAGCTGCCAGTCTGAAAGTCACTGAGTCACAGAGCTGCATGTACTTTGTGGTCTCCAAATCTCTTGCGTTAGTGGGTAAGACTCAGCCATTCGCTGGCCCACTCCCCACTCACACTGCCTTAGACCTCCAGCCCCTCCTGGCCTCAGGCTTAGACTCCACCAGAAGCCATACCCTGGAGCTTGCCAAGTGCCAGTCTGGACCAAAGTGGGGGACTAAGCTGGGTTCCTACAAAGGCCACCCTGCCCACCCTGTGCCGGGCTCTGGATTGATCTGTCCGTCGTGGCTCCTGAAGGGTTCCTCTAGCGTCTGTGCTCTCTCTCCTCCAAACCCACTGTCTTATTCCATACCTGACCCCTGTTGTCTTCACTTCTCTATCTGGCTGCTCTGCATTTCTTCCATCCCATGACAACAGAACTTCGAGAAGCCACTTACCTTCCCTGTCTCCATGTCCTTCCTTCACACTCTCTACCCTCTAGCCAGGCTTTCTGGCCACTGTCCCACTGAAACAGTTCCTGTCCACTCAGCCATGACCTCCACCTCACTACAGACACCGGTCCACTCGCGGGGTCCCACTCTTCTCCCCAGAAGTCACCTCTCAGTGCAGCATCAGGGGGTCCTGTCAGAGCCAGAGTCAGATCGTGACGCCCTCTGCAATGCGCTCCACACACACCATGATTTCCTATGTCATTTGGAACAGAAACTGAACTTCTTCTGGTGATCCGGGAAGCCATCAATGGGAAGGTTTCTGTCAGCCCCATTTCCTCTTCCTTCCTCTCTTCAGTCCGCTCCCTTTGAACATCCCACTTCTGTTCCTCAGGCACACCAGTTGTGCCCAGGCCAAGCTTCACCTTGCTCCCCTCTGCCTGGACCACTAGCCCACAGACACTTGCCCGCCTTTTTTGTCACCCCTCGGTCTCTATTCAGATATGGCCTTATCGGCAAGGCCTTCCCTGGTCATACTGAGGGAAGTCGCCTCCTCTTTGTGTCCCTGCTTTATGTTTTTTGAAGCAATGGTCCCTTAAGTCCCCTAGGCAATTACTTTGTATTTTGTTCATCAGTGTGTCCCCAAGAGCCTGGCAAGTGCTCAGGGGCCCTGAGTGGAGCCTGCCTGTGTGCTTGAAGGAACGCTTCATATAGAGGGAGTCCCACAGCAAGCCTTGGGGAGAGCGCCCCCTAGTGACAGGTGCCGTGCACGGTCTTGCGCGGCTGCAGGTGTCACTAGGCCATGCAGGCTCCCTTCCTGCCTGAGCGATTACAAACCATCCTCTAGTTAATCACTGCTCTGAGGGAAGAGACTCCACACGCTGGTGAGGCCTTCCACGCTGACCTGGCTGCTGGATCTGTGGACGTGTATTTGAACAGCTTCCCCTTTTCCACCCACAGGGAGAGGAACAAGCACCTCCGGGATGAGCGTGATGTAAGCTTTCAGGTCAGTGGCTGGTGCTCCCTTTGGGGTGGGGCAGTGGGAGACAAAGCCAGCAATCCATGAGCAACAGATCTGTGCCAAGGCTCCTGAGATTGTCCCAACATGGGTTGTGCTTGGTCGTTGTGTGGGTGCAGGGCAATGTGCTGTGTGCGGTGACCGGAGTGGATTTCCATGAAGCAACACACTTTCTTCGTGGTGCAGCAGGAAGACGCCTCTGGGAGGGCCATGCCTTCCTGGCTGGGAGGTAATGGTCCCATCCATGAGGTGGCACATCTGAAACCCCACTCTGACTTAAGCCAAAATGCTCAGCTTTCTTTTCATTTAAATTTTCACCTCTTGATGAAAATCTTGCATTTTTTACACAGTCATGGAACACATTAAAAATGTGCCTGTAGCTGTTTACATAGTTGATTTTATGTAAAGTTTTTTTCCACTTTATAGAGACTCCTCCTCTTGTGTACCGGAGCTCCATGCCTGTTTACTTCTCCAAACAGCTGGAGAGACTTTATTTATTTACATGTCTTCATTGTGGGCCACAGAGAACAAAATCTAGGATCCTGTGTCCTCTGCCCATCTTTCCCTTTACCAGGACTAACTGGGTGCTCTGAAGAAAGAAATGTGGGGGCAGGATGGGTTGGTGTGGCTTCCTGCTATGGGATCATCGCAAATAGCTGTGGGCCCGACCCTGGACAGGTCACTTGCAACCATGATCCCTGCTGTCACATGAGGAAGGAGGGTCCTGGCCCTCTGCTTCCCCATATTATAAGGGTTTCAGGGCAAAGCTGTTGTGAAGAGGGTGATGTGCACTGCACCCTTGTCTGGACAGCAGCCTGAACATGGTTGGCCTCAGGCAGCTAGGTTGCCCTGATTTGGGCCTTACTGGGGACCCCTGAAACGTTACCGGAAACCTCTGCAGTAGGCTGCAGTCTCCTACTCAGTATATGACCCAGGCCTGAGGAAAAAAAAAGTAAAAGACAGAACTAAGAAAGACAGAAAGCAGGGCCAGGATGACCAATGCTGGTACAACTGACACAGGTCCTGGCCAGGCCAAGCCACTGATGTTTACTGGTGATCACTTGGGGTAGAGGTGAGCTGTGTGCAAGGGCAGGGCTGCATGTGAGGATGCGCAGTTTTGCGGTTTCTGTGGAAATTGAGGTAAGCAAGGCTCGTAAAAGCAAGACAGCATTCTCAAATTAGGAACAGAATAGACAGAATATGTGGATGTAATTAGAAACTGGCCTTCTAGCTAGAAGGTTTTCGTTACGGGAATGGAGGTGGGTGCGAGTTACTCTGAGCTCGGCACATAGGCTTCGGCCGGACTCACTGCTGTAAACAGCCTGTTGTGTGGTTCACTCATTTCTGCCTGCGCTGGGCAGAATCAGCATTGCTGTCCAAACTACCAGGATCTGGGAGGGCGGTCACACTGCCTTGGATGTTGCCACCAGCAGCAAGCGTTTCTGCTGCCCACCGCTGTGCACCACCCAGGTGAGGCTTAAGCCTTCACATGTTTGACAATGACAGTGGCTATAACTATTTCAGAAGTGACTCCAGCTTTTTTTTTAGCTTTCAAATGTCATCCTAATCCCTTTACTCACTTCCTTTCACCTGCCAAACTCATTCTGCTTTGAAAGGGAGACAGAGTGAAAAACTCCAGTGGGGACTGAAGAAAGAGGCACAAAGTCCTACTGATAGAGAATATAATCACAGATTCATCTGGAACCATTAAAGCCATAGCTTCAGGGGCCCTGGGAGGCTCCAACTCCTCCTTCCCTCCTTAGAGATCATGGAGAACCACCGAGTGACTAAGGAGATACTCCTTCTGCGATTTGACCCTTTCCCCTCCCCGAGGACATCTGTTAGGGAGCCTTGGTGGGGGGAGTTAAGGTCTGGCTCCACAGATATCGGAGCCATTTATCCACACCTAGGCTATGTCCCCCAAATGCTGAAAAGCTTGCAGTAGCACAGGAGTTGGACAAGGCCCTGGGCCACCTGGCCTTCTGGGCTGCACCTTTTTGCATTGTATCCAGGGCTTTGGAAATAGAGAGACTGGAGCTACACAGATGAGAGTGATTTAAAATGCATGGAAGCTTTTAATGCCAATACATGTTTTTTCTTATGCGTGAAGCATCTACCTCTTCTTTGTTCTCTTGCAAACCATCAGTGCCGCTATGAAGAGTAATAAGGAGGGCCCAGGTTCTGCACTGGGTGTTTGTTCCTTGGATTTGATTACGAGAAAGGAGGTGGAGGAATGGGGGGAAGTGAAAGGGGAGAGTGGGTGAGTGGTAGCCGGGAGCTGAACACCCTGATGGCTGGCTTCGGAGTCTGGATACAGCCTGACCAGGAAGCAGGCGTGCTGAGCCTTGTTCTCCTCAGACACTGGGGTCAATGCACAGGCATTCATCCGGGGCATTTGTCTTTCTGCAGAAAGATAAGGCAGCCCAGGCAAGCACAGCTGCTTCCAGGGCAAGCTGGAAGCAGAGATCTGGCTCCGTGATCGGCAAATACGTGGACAGCAGAGGGGTCCTTAGAAGGTAAGTCGTCACTGCCCATCCTCATTCTTCTCCTCCTGCTTGGGAGTTGGTCCTGGGCTGCGGCTCTGCAGGGGGCTTCTCAGGTCAGCTGCTCTCACTGCCTTGGAAGCTTGAGGGACGTGACCCTCCCGCAGAATGTCATCCATGCTGGAGGGAGACACCAGGAGGAAACTCCAGGGCAGCTGGGGTCTTCTGAGGCTGCCCGTCTAGTGTGTGCTGCAGAGAGGGACCCGAGAGTGTTGTGGGTGCCGGAGCGAGAGGAGAAGCCCTGGGAGAAGGGTGGGCAGGGCTGGGACTATGCTGCCTGCTGAGCAGAACAGATGCACCTGGCTTTGTCAGAAACCGGGCTATCTTGACTATAAAGGGTAATTAAAGATTCTCACTGGATGAATTCTTTTATAGACACTACTGGGACTTGTGCTTGACAGGTCGTCTCACAGATCCATCTTTAGCTCAAATACAACATGATTTGCCACTGTCGGACAGCTCATGACTGAGTTTGAGGACCCATTGTCAGCTTGTGGCTCCTGCAGAGACAGCGCCCCTGCCCTGTGTGTGTGGCAAGTGCTCCGCCCACACGGCGGGCACAGACAGGTGGAGGCCCTGAGGGGTCAGACCCAGGGGAAGGTGTGTGACCTTGCTCCTGTGGAAGACTGCGGGCATGAAATTGAAAAGTGAGCAAAGGAAGTGACTTTGGGGGTGTGAATCAGCTCCTCAGGATCTGGGTCTAAGCATCATAAATCCCATCTCTAAATAGCTGAATAATGAGCTACATCTTGGAAGCCAAGTTTCCACAGTGGTTGTTGGCCTGTTGGTCCCACCGCACTGAATGTGTCCTTGATTGATTCAGCAGGCACTTACTGATTGCCCATCTGTGCCAGGCATTCTTTTGAATTTTACGAAGACTTGTAAGATGAGTTGGACATGGCTCCCACTGTTGATGTCTATTATTAAACGCTCATTTAATACTGAGGTTATCTGAGGCGGGGGATACGTGCCAGATATGTGGAGTGAGTGCCTGAGTGGACCCATCTCCCCTCATGATTTAGCACTGAACAGAAGAAACAGATAGTAACCCAGTCAGCGATGAATCGTGAGCTCCACACCCTGATACAGGCTTGGCAACAGAGGCTGCTCTCTCTACTGCTGCCAGAGAGCATTTGGTGGCAAAACCGAAAATGAACTTAGTCAGCTAAGCAGAGGGTATTTCAGAATGTCAGCAGTGCTTAAGAACTTCCCAAATAAAAAGCCAAGAAATGTTTCCTCTCAGAGCCTATTTAAGTGGTTGCTTTGTTTCTGATCACAAAGACTTTGGGAAAGCATGCTGCGTGTGTGTGGGGAAATATCCCTCTTGCCTGGGCAAGTGTGGTGAAATGGGTGGGAGTACGAGTCACGAGGCAGGTACCAGGCTTGCTGGTGTAGAGAAGAAGTGTGCTGGGAAGAAGCCAGCTGGCTTTTATTTAAAACTGTGATTTTTATAAGTAAAGGGAAAGGTGTTTGAATTGCTACAAATCTCTTATTTTATATCATGAGATCCAAACAAATTCACCATCGTTGTGAGCAAGCACCACATCTTAATTGATCTTTCAAAATCGCAATTAACCTTAGAATGATGGTGGTCGCAGTTGGTTTTCTTTTTCCTTCCTATTATTGGTCCTTAGGACCAATATATAGTATAAGGGGGGGTCAAAATAAAGGGTGTTTCTGTGTACCGCATGTTCTGTCCTTCGCTAAGTCTTTTTCTGCCTTGGTCCTGCCACCTCACTACTTCATCTCTGTTGCATTTGCTTTTCTAATCTGTGGGATGTGTGTGAGAGAGGGGTCGGGGAGACAAGCTTGGACATAAGGTTCTGCCATCCTGCCTGTCAGACTTCCATTGCCATTCAGAATTCTCAGCCCATTTTTTTCACAAAGACCTAGAAGGATCTCCCTTGCTCAGGAGGGTCGGTGAAGCCTTTGTTTTCCAAACTTCCTGACAGCGCCACCTGTGCCTGATGTCCATCCTAGGGACCGGCTTTCCCCCCTCCCAGTGCTCTTTTTTGCTCTTCCTGCTCAAGTGGGCCAGGAAAAGAACATGTTCTCAGGCTTCTGAGACCTTTTACTCCTGATTGTGACTTCTAGGGACAGAGAGAGAAAAGGGAAGGGAGAAGAGGCAGATAGATATCCCTCTGGCCCAGGGCGCATGCTCACTAGGCACAGCTGTCTCTGAGGAGCAGACGCCTGCTGTGAGAGGATGGGGTCCCCCCAGAGACACAGCACCCTGCACTGCGGAGGGTGCTGGGTGAACACGCCTGCGACTGTGCGTCATTGCAGTTGGGCCACCTTTGCAGTTTTTTGTTTCCTCAGTGAGAAAGTCTGATGCTGCGGAGCGGAGGTGTCCTACCCCAGTCACAGTTTATGAGGGCTGGTGCTGGGGCACAGCAGGCTGCCTGCCTGCCAGGCGTGGGCTTCACTGCCTTTACTTTTCCTTCATAGCCCTCTCTGAATTTGTAAAACTGTATTCATTTTGGTCGTTAATGCCTTCAACCTCACATTAGCTAACTTTCCATCTCTGTGACACAGTACCGGAGAAGAACAACTTACAGGAGAGAGGGTTACTTTGGCTGAGTTCCCTAGGTTCCAGTGCATGGTCGTCAGCTGGCTCTGAGGCAGAAGCATCATGGCAGAAGGATGTGGGAAGGAGAGCTGATTCCCTCCCGCCACGGAGGCAGAAGGAGGGAAAGAGCCAGACAGACAGGGGCTGGGCAAGACAGAGCCTTTGTCCATGGCTGGCTTCCGCTGAGGCCACACCGCCCAGCAGCCCACTCAGCTGGGCACCCTTTGCTGGGTGAATCGCTGCCGAGGTTGACAATTTCCCGAGCCAATTGCCTCTTAGACCCCAGCTCAAGACTGCTTTGGGGATCAAGCCCTCAGCGGGTGAGTCTTTGTGGAACTTTTTGGATCCAAACCCTAAGAGATTCCCACTGAGCCCAACATGCATGTGGACAGGGCCTGTGCCTGTCTGTCCTGGCTTGGCCTTCAGTCGTTGTGTTCATGATCTTCACATCCTCATCACAGGCACTTAGTGTTTAGGAGGAATCAGCTACAAGGCTGGATCAGTTGTTCTCTTTCCTGCTTTTCTCTCTCCTCCAAAGGCCTGGCACTCTGCAGCTATCTGTCACAAAAGATACTCTGTAATGTAGGGTGTTCCCCCGATTTGTGGTTTCTCATCCTGACAGCCAGTCGGAGGAGGAGGAAGATGTGTTCAGCATTCCGAGGAGGAAGAGCTCCCTGGGCCCGAGTGCGTATCCCCTCACAGAAGAGGAGCCAGGGCCGGGAGAGCCAGGGGCTGGGGGTCCACGCTGCCGGGCTCTGCGCAGGATCATCTCCATCGAGGAAGACCCCCTGCCCCAGCTCCTGGACAGCAGCCCCAAGCAACCACTGAGCAAGGGCCCAGAGCAGGAGGGAGTCTCCCACCAGGGGGCAGAGGGACCGGTCCAGCAGGCCCTGTCCTTGGCATGCTCCCCCTCGTCTCCCCGAGAGCAGCCTGTCGGGAAAGAAGCCCTCTGTCAGGTAAGGGCCCACCTGGTCTGCATGCTGCTCCATGATGTGCCCCCACAGGGCACCCAGGAATTCAGTGCAGTGATCCTGGGATGCATTACCTTCGATTCTTCCAGAGGCCTCCTTTCCCTGCTTGGCTGAGTGTTAGGGGATGAGACTTGGGGCGATTGATGAATTCTCCCAGTAACCTCTTCTGTGGGCCCCATTCCCCACCCTGTGCTCTTTTCCGACTCAGATCCAAAGCACTTATTGAGTGACTACTTAACACAGGCTTTCTCTGGGCTCATACCCTGAAATGTCAGATACTTTCAAAGCCACACATGTAACTGCTCTCAGTAGGACTAGGTCCTGCTGCAAAGTGTATGCACCCTCATTTACCTTGGTTCCAGCCAATCAGCCTTCAGCACCAGCTCTCTGCATGCTCCTCCCTTCAGAGAGACTGCTCCCCTGCCAGGCCTCCCTGCTAAATTCTGGGGAGACAGGAGACCATATAGATTCTTCCTCTGGCTCCCTCCTTTGTGACCCAGGCCCCCAGCTTCCACTTGCCCTTCTCAGCATCCATGACAAAGGTATAGGGAGCTCTAGCCCTGCACACCGTGCAGCCCGTGGAACTGAGCCGTGGCCACCATGAGTCTCCCCTGGCCCTAGCTGCTGGTTCCTCCTCCTGTGAGCACCCCAGTGCGAGGGGGAGGTGGAGAACTGGAGCATCCCTCAGGTGGCTGAGGCAGCATAACATGGCCTGTAGCTCCTCATCTGCTGTCCCCAGGAGCCCATGCTGCCGTTTGCTGGAAACAGAGCCTGTGGCAGAGAGGAGCTGTGGCTTAGCGGAAGCCACTGCCAGGGTCAGAGAGGGTCTGCCCGCCAGGCCCACACACAGAGGAAGAACTGAATAACAGGAATTGAGAATCAGAATCCGACACCCTTTAAGCCAGCACTCCTGCTTGCCACACTTTTCCCAAAGGAAACAACCAAGACCAGATACAGATTTAAATTAAAAATGTGTTCATTTATGATAGCAAACCATTGAAACAATACCCAGCCATAAGGACATAAATTGTATTATTTAATAGAATAGTATACAAGTGTTGAAAATTGTATTTAAAAACTTTAGTGACCAAGGAAATATGTATACTTTATTATGTATGATAAAATAGGATTGAATTATATATAAAATGATGATGAAATAGGAGAAATTATACAGGGTTATATATGATTGTTATATAAGATAGTATACAAATTATATATATTTCAAATCCCTTTAAATAAAAACTTATATGTTTACATAGAAACTCTACACAAAAACATATTTATAGTAAATGAAAAAATCAGGAAAAATACATCAAAATATGAAAAATGACCATTTCAGGGTGTTTGAGTAGATTATGAAGAATTATTTCTCTCTACTCCTCTGTAATTCTGCAATTAACAATTAGGATGTATTACTTTTCCTTTTTTAAGTATTTAAATTTAAAAAGGCACATCAGAGGGAGGGCGAGCATGATCCCCACCCCACCTGGCCCCTGTGTCACTGTCCCTGGGAAGGCACAGCAGGCTGAGGGCCTGGGTGGAGAGGGGTGTGCTGCTCTCCCAAGGCAAGACCTACTAGAGGCTGGGCCAGCTCTGTTGGCTTTGGGGCTCTGCCCAGGGCAGGGCAGTGGCCACAGGGCTGAGAACTGGGCACCTCCATCACCAGGACCCCTCATCCACCCTTGGCCTCGAATTCTTCACCTGTGCCTCTTCCCAGCACACGGCAGCTTAGTTTCAAACAGATGACAATTAGAGATACAGGCACAAGAGACAGGCAGGGCACCAGCATCTTTGTGCATTGCATGAATAAAGAAAACAGGGCAGGGGCATCATTGTTGAGTGTGGGCTTTAAATTGTTTTTTAGTTTAAATTCTGTAGTTGACCTTGAATTCCTTCCTAAGTATTGGGTGCAATTTTGTTTCTCCACAAAAGCCTACTAATGATTTTTCTCTGAAACTAAGTACTGCTAACATCAGCTGCCACTCCATTACAGTATTTGCTCAAGGAGAGAAGATAATTCCCCCAAATCCATTCTTAAATAGATGTCAGAAAGGCTCCTCTACCAGCCAGTGCTGAGCTGAGCCTGCAGGCAGGACTTGAGTGAGCAAGCACACTCTCGGGAGGGGACAGCCACCAGGCAGAAAGAAGGGATCCCCACCTCCTTACACTGTGTCCTACTCACCTTGTGTCTTTGAGCAAGCCCACCCCATCCTGGCTTTCTGCACTGGCCCCTGTGGCTCTGGGGAAGCTTCAGTGAACTGTAGGAAGCCACAGCTGCCCCTGGGAAGCCACGGTGGCCTCTGGGAAGATGCAGTGGCCTCTCAAAAGCCACAATGGGCCCTGGGAATCTGCAGAGGCCTCTGTGAAACTGCGATGGCCCCTGGGAAGCCACGGTGGTCTCTGGAAAACCACAATGGCCCCTGGGAAGCCACGGTGGTCTCTGGGAAGCTGCGGTGGCCTCTGGGAAGCCACAGGGGCCAGGCATCACTGCACATTCCAGATTCCTGAATGAAGACCAGCTGGTACCCAAGGAAGATGGCCAGAAGCTGAGGAGATAAGAACAAGAAAGCTATATCAGGGAGGCAGGACGGGCCTCCATTCCACTCCAGCTTTCAGTGACAGGGCAGTAAAAACGGCTTCTCAGCCCAGCATGGATGTCTCTGTCCATGATGCAGAGGCCTTCTCTCTAGATCTCCTTCCTAGGAATGCCCCAGTGGTGCTGTCTACCTGTGGAATCACTGCCTCCTCGAAGCTGCTCTGTGTTTCCATGGCACCTCTGCTGTTCTGCCAATAGCTCTCAGAGCCTTGTGCTCCCATGATTGTATACATACCTGCCTCCTCAACTTCCCGTCAACCAGGGCCTGCCTCCCCACCCCAGGATCACAGCAGCAGCAATGCATATTGGTGGTGGCTGTTTCTATACCCTCTGCTGTGAGAAAGAGCTGCTGTGCTTGGAGCCTAGTGCTAACTACATTCTGAGCCTGGGGCGGCCTCCTTGGTTTTGGGCTCCCTGGGACCACAGGCTGGACAAGAACAAGGAAGAGTTGTAACAGCAGCAGGGCCTAGCGGCCATCCCGACAGTGGCCAGACTGACTGTCTGTGATCCACAGGTGGAAAGCTTGCCCTCCACTCCAGACCGGCTGTTCAAAATCGTGTTTGTGGGCAACTCCGCCGTGGGGAAGACGTCCTTCCTGAGGAGGCTCTGCGAGGACCACTTCTCCCCAGGCGTTGCAGCCACTGTGGGTGAGTCCTCACCAGGGAGGGTTTGCAGACCTGGAAGGGGCCGTGGTGCTGGCACGTGGGGTGCTTGTGTTGGCTGTGCTCAGTGCGACAGTCGTGCAGGTGTGTGTGTGCCAATAGGGCACAGCACTCTGGATAGCTTCTTTTACTCACCAGAAGTCACCTGCCCTCCGTCGCAGGCGGGCTAGGTGACAGCTGGAATTAGGTGCAGAAGCTCATCAGGCTCAGTTGTGAGTATGGTCACTGCTAAATATGGTCCCACTCTGTAATAATATTTTGTTTAAACAGAGGCTTTGATTGCCCACCCACAGTTGTGCATCGCATTGGAATACGTGGCAAGGCCCAGGGGCACACTGGCCTTTTAGCCTCCACCACTCAGCGTCACTCATCAGAAGATGTGCCGAATGGGCACTGTGCTCTGTCTGACCGAGTGATGGGTCCACTGTGCTCAGTGTGTTCGTGTGGGCCAAGTGTCGGCTGAGGGCTTTTATACTCATCATTCAGTCTGTCTCCACAGCCACACTGGGACAGGGTTATCAAACTAAGGCCCAGAGCAGTCAAGAGGCTTGCCTACATTCCGGTCCCCCCAAAACACACCCGCCATCCTCTTCCCCAGTGTCCCTGACAGTAGTGGGTGTTTGCTCTTCACCCCAGTGAGAGGCAGGGATCCTCGTGTGCCTCAGGAGACGGCAGAGGTTGGTGCTGACAGGAGAGGCTGCTGAGGCCTGGGGACTTCACAAGTCCTGGGTCCTCATCTTGGCTCTGTCTCTATCCTCGGGATGACACAGTCTCTCTGGGCTTCGATATTCCTTCATTTGAAAAATGGGGGCTTTGATCTGGGTGCCCAAGACTGCTTCCAAGCCTGGGTCATGGCATGTCACCTTCCCAGTCAGGCTGCCTGAGAAACGGGACGAACTTCCCATGCCCTCTCCCTTAGGGAGACTCCCTCTTCCTTCTCCCACTTGAACTTTCCATGTTTCTCCTGCCCAAGGCCACCAGTTCCTGTTCTTGCTGCTGGGCCTTTTCCTGTCCTGCATCCTCTTGTCCCCTCCCGTTGCACCCCTTTAACAACAGACTAAGACCCCACCCTGCCATGGCAAAGCCTCAGGGCCCTGAAGGAAAGAAGGACAGCCCTGAGCCAAACCTGGAGAAGTGGGGCCTGGTCTAGCCTTGAGCACTGAGCACCGTGAAGGGCAGGTGGCCAGGCCTGCTCTGGAGGCCCCAGCCTGGCACTGGCGGTTTGTGGTGGCAGGGGCCTGCATGTGTGGACACTCCAGGTGTGGCCCTGAGGACTGTGCTGACGGGAGCGGTCCGTTCACTTCTCCAGCGTGTGGCCCTCATAAGAAGGTTCTGAAAGAGGAAAGCACACTAATCTGCACTTCCCGGGGCACCAGTTATGGAAGCACCTTGAGGTTCTGTGTCTGGAGCACCACTGATTGTACCACCCGCCGGCAGCTGCTTAGCTCAGTGTCCCTGCCACAGCTCTTGCCCTGCCTGTCATGATGTCATGAGGAGCCGTCACGCAGCCATGGCAGAAGCCTTCGAGGGAAGGGCGCTTGCAGGGGTCCTGACCCCTAGGGCCAGTGCAGCCCAGAGGAGGGCAGGCCCTGGCTGACCGCTCACTCCCATGGCCAGGGCTCTATGGATCCTCGCTCTCCCAGGTCCCCATGAGAACTTGGTTACCAGGACTTGCCTTCTGTGCCGTGCTGGCTGCTTTATCCCAACTGTGAGCCAAAGCACTGTGCCTGCTCCTCAGTGATGGTTCCTATGGAGCACCAGGGCTGGAAAGATACACACGTTCAGTGGTAAAGGAGAAAGCTGAGGCCCACAGCAGGCTGATAATTAGGAGCTACACGGCCCAGGCCTGGGGCTCCAGGTCCCAGCTTATTCCACTGCCTTGCACTGGTTCACAACCTCCCTGCTTTAAGTCACAGCCCGGATCCGGAGTATTTCTTCCACAGCATCTCTTGGTAGAATGTCCTCCATCCTTTCTTGGCCACCAGAGGGTTTTGCCCACTTTGGCCTGTCCACTATACCGCACCTACCCCACAGCCTCTCACTCCTCCGCAGCCTGCCGTGCGGTGGCCGGGCTGTCTCCTTCAGGATGGCCAGCGTCCACCAGCCCAGCAGCTGGCACACCACACTTCTGGGACAGCTGAAGGTCACCTGGATGTGACGATTGATGCTCTCCCTGAAATGGAAGGTGGTGGACACCAGTTTCCCCCCATCCTTCACCTTGCTTCTGTTTACAGAAGAAGAAGGTGGACCTTGGAAGGCAACCACGCTGCCGGTCCATGGTGGATCCTGGGCAGGAATGCAGAGCTCAGGTTCCTGACGCCCCAGTTGCTAGGGGGAGGCCTGAAAGCCTCATGATGCGCTACACTGCTCCCTTGGGCTCTCGTGTCAGTCACAGGTGCGCTGCCTGCCCTCACCTCCCACATCCTCCCGCGACACAGGGCTGCGCCACTAGGCCCTGTAGACATACATATCTGCTTCCTCACCTTGAGAGAGTCCCCGGCTGCCCCACAGCAGGGAGTACCTCCACCCTGCCTGCCACCTGCTCTGCTCCCTGTGAGCCGAGTGGCACTGAGATTAGCCGGGGACTGGAACAGGCCCTGCCCACCTGGCTGCCTTTCCCTGGCTGGTTTCCGATCAGGCCCCGCAGGGTGCTGACCATGACTGGCTTTCTCCTGAGTGCTGCTAGAAAGCAGGCAGCCCTTCCCTCCAAGAGCACAGGCTCATGGGGCTGTCTGCCAGCTCGCTGATCCTTTCGATGGGACCACTCAACCCTGGCCTTCCTGGGGGGAATGAAGCTGCAGGGAGCCTCAGAGCTGGTTTTGCAGCTTGCCACGGCTGCTGCTGCTTTGTCCCCCTGGAGTGTGTGTGTGAGTGTGTGTGCCTGCGTGCATGTGCACATGTGTACAGATGGCAGCCCTCACATCACATCATGGGGACACTGAAGACGGAGAAGCAGCAGATGGAAATGCTGCAGCAGTGGAACGTTCTGCTTCCTTCTCGGCTGACAAAACTGTTCTCATCCGTGGCCCTGGTATCTGAAGCCAAGGGCCTCCAGTGTCCATGCTGGGCCTGCCTCTGCACATGGTGGCCCTCGACCCTCCTCCACTCTTGGCTCTTCATGGGGCCGGCCTGGTGGCAGAACCTGGTGATATTCCCCATTTCATGCCTCTTCCTAACCATCTGATCTCTGCTTCTGTCTGTCCCCATGCCCTTGCTGGTCCTGTTCCTGAGTCTTCCAGGAGGGGACTCCACAAGCCTTTCAGAAGAGGGTTTGGGACACCCTGCAGCTCTGCAGTTGGGTGGGAGCCTAAAGGGAGAAGACTTGTGTAGCATCCATCTTGCATGTGTGAATTTTCTTACAGTCACAGGGAGAGGAACGTTTATGTCAAAGAACCCATGTCTAGGCCCTTTACTCTAAGGGCTAAGGGCTACTGTGGGGTCCAGAATGCCCGTTGCTGACCTTGTCCCTCTTTTTGGGGAAGATGATCCCAGGGAGGGCCACACCTCTAGAAAGTTGCTTGCAGTGGCATAGTGATGGGCCAGGGGTTCTAAACCTATCACAAGGGCATAAACTACCTCCTCCCTCCTTCCTCATCTTCCACATGCCTGAAGATTGGCTTCTGGAGGTCTTAAAGCACAGTCCATCCCCCAGAATGTTTGAATTTTACACTTGATCCTAGCCAAAAGGCCAAGAAGCGATGGGGATGTTTGAATTTTATTAGGAGAACTTTGAAAGGATTTCAGCCAAAGGAAGAGAGAGAACAAGGGAGGGAGAAGAAGAGGGAGGAGAAAGGAAGGAAGAGAATGAGAGCAAGAGGGAGGGAACAGCCTGGGCTGCGTTTGCTCACCCTTCTGCTCCTGTGAGGAGGGGAAGCCTTGAAGGACAGCAGTTGTCTGCACTGACACGTGGCTCTCCCTCATGGGATTGGACTTGACCTTGTATGGTGTCCATCGACAAGGCCCAGGCTGCTCCACAGTGCAAAGCCTGCAACCGAGAGATGCTGAGTGAGTGAGAGGCAGTACCAGAACTTGGGTCCAGGGCTCTGTGCTTCTTCCCACAGTGCCTCCCAGGACGAATGGGCCAGCTGTCGCCTGGGCCTGGCACAGCATGGGACTGAGGCTTAGAAGGGAGGGGGCCTCCTGCCCAGGGAGCCCTGATGACAGGCTTGGCCCCTTGCAGGTATCGATTACCGAGTGAAGACGGTGAACGTGGACAACTCTCAGGTGGCCCTGCAGCTGTGGGACACGGCTGGGCAGGAGAGGTGAGGAGCCGTCCCTGAGGTCTGGGCTGTGGAGCAGGCCGCTCAGGCCTGACGATGGCCTCCCTGGCAGGTACCGCTGCATCACCCAGCAGTTCTTCCGGAAGGCTGACGGCGTCATTGTCATGTATGACCTCACGGCCAAGGAGTCCTTCCTGTCGGTCCGGCAGTGGCTCAGCAGCGTAGAGGTGAGCTGGCCCTTCCAGCAGCTGCATGCCATCTGCCCTGCTCCTCTCCCTCTGGCTCTCACCTTCCTGGGCCTAAACTGAGGCAGGTGTTTGTGAGGGAGATCCTGGCACCAGCTGATGGGGGTCAGGAGTGTGTAGACAGGCGCTGCCCCTGTCCTCCTGGAGAAATGTACAGGTCACAGGGCTGTGGTCTGGGTATCAGTTGAGACACAGGCTGAAATATGACCCTCACTGTGAGGTACAAAGAGCAGGACTTAATCGGACCACAGTATTTGGGAGGTGTGGAAAGAAGGCTGTAAGGGGTGCACCCCAGTCCAGAGGGACTGTGGCTGCACAAGAGGAGGAGGAGAGGCCTGAGTTGGACGCCCTGGCTTGCCATGCACCATGCACCACCTTGGATGCTGCAGAGTGAAGAGAACCTCACCAGATACAGCTGTCCATCATGAACTCCCCAGCCTCAGAGCAGGGAGCCAGACGAATCTTCTTTACGAAAGTCAGCCTATGGTGTTCAGTTATGGCTACAGGCAGTGTCCTGAGACCACCAGTAACTGTATCATTACAATTGCTATGAGGGAGGGGCCTGGGCCAGAGTAGAGGCACAGAGTGGGTGATCACAGGGCTCCCCTGAAAAGAAAGCAGTGTGTAAACTGAGTCATAGCCAAATCCTTCCTCCTTACCTTTGCTTCCCAGTCCTGCATCTCGATGGCTCCTGTGGTCCCTGCTGTGCCCTGCCCAGAAGCTTCTCTGTGCAGGGTTTGGGGCCTGTTTCCCAGCCCTCCACACACCCTCCAGGGGAGTGATCTATAAAGATCTGGGCTCCTCCCAAAGCCAGAGGCCTGTGCAAGGCTAGAGTAGTGATCTCCTAGATCAGGGCCCTGCCCAGCTGGTGCTCAGCCAGGGCCACAGGGGTACATGGACTCACTAGAGTTGCTGACCTCTTCTCACTTTGGCCCTGAGACCTAGGACTTCCCACCAACAACTGTTTTTGTGTCACTTTGACTGGCTGGGCCATTCTCTGCTATTAACTGCATCGTTCTTATTACCAAGAAAAATAAGGAACAGAGTAGAAGCCAGACTTCCTTTCTGATTATAAATTCCACTTATTCTGTGGTGTTTAAAGAAGAAAAATGGAAACCCAAAGAGATTTAATCATGGTCGAGATGGGCATGTTTCATTACTGCTCTGTGGGTGCTGTGTCCTGGAAAGAAAACAAAGGCGCTCGGTCCCAGCAGGGACGAATGCTGGGTTCTGGGATTCGGTGAGCACAAATGCTTTGTGAAGCAAGACCTTTCCCGTGGGTTATCTGAAGTCAAGGGTTCTGCCCAGATTCCTCTCGAATGGCACTTGAAAGCAGTATGCTCCTTTAAATCCCCAATTGAGACTTGTAAGAAGCAGGGTGAGGAGAGCCAGGGTAGGGAGGCTCCCGTAAGGAGCAGCGCAGAGCCCTCGCAGAGGGGAGGCAGCGTGAGTGGCGCAGAGCAGGCACTGTAGCTCGGGGGGTGAGGCTCAATCCCAGTAAAGAAGCAAAAAGTGTGCTTTATGCCCAGTAGCACTTTACGGTTTACATATGTTTTTTTCATTAAATCTTGTGCTACTTCCTCTGCAATGGTCACTGCCATTCTATTCTACGGACAGAAGTTGGCTGTCTCATATAACCTGGTCTTTCTCAGTTCCTATGATGCTGCACTTGTAAGTAATCTCTTTACTTTTTTTTTTATTGGTACATTTCAGATATACATAATGATAACATCCAACATAGCAAATTTGTACCTATATATATCTTGCTGCTGCTTTTTTTGCCTATTCCCCTACCTTGCTCTCTTCCTCTCTCTCTGTACCGAAGCTGTTTCCATTTTCCCTGATTTTTTCCTTGTCCCTCCTTTCCTTTTCCCCTCCCCTCTCCCTTATTCCTCATCTCAATTGGATATTTTCTTCCCATTTCCCAGTATCAATTGTGCATTTTGTCCTTATTTACACTTTCGATTTCCCACACCAGAGAAACCATGTGATATTTGAACGTGTGTGTCCTATTTATTTCACTTAAGAGTGTGGTCTCAAGATGCATCCATTTAGTTAGAAATGTCTCAAGCTTATCCTTCTCTGGGGCAGGGTAGTACTCCATTGTATTAAAAAAAAAACACACATCCACATCTTCTTTATCCATTCATCAGTTGATGGGCATAAACTGTGCCGCTATAAACATGGGTGTGATATATCACTGTGATATGATGCTGTTAATTCTTTTGGGAAGATACCAAGAATGAGAATAACTGGGTCAAATGGACCTCTAGTTTTAGGTTTTTACATTAATTTCTATTCTGATCTTTATAGCCCCTGGTACAAGCTTTGGGCTTCACTGCTATTCTTTTTCTAGAAGCTTGAGATTCAACATTAGGTTGAAAAAGCTCACTCTTTTTCTGATGTGGGAATTCATTGCTATAAATTTCCCTCATAGGACTTCTTTCATTGTGTTCCATAAGTTCTGGTATATTGTTTTAGCATTACTGTTTAATTGTAGAAACTGTCTACTTTCTTGAACTAGATTTATAGTTACATAACAAATTCTAAAGCAAACCAGAAACGTGTATACAGTAAATAAGCCCTCACGTATGGCAATTTTACCCTCATGGAAGAAAATTTTAAAGCGGTTAGGAGGAAAAATGGAGAAATAAAAGAGGAGGAAGAACTTAGAAGCAAGACTGGAGGAAGATTATGTAAACTTTTGAGAAACTGGGGAAGAAGACAAGAGAGAAAGAAGGAAGAAATAAAAACAAGAACAAACAACTTAAAAACAACAACAGAACAGCAACTTAAAAACTAGAAACCTTTTTCCCACTTATACAAAAATAAGAACAAACAAGAAAAGAACAAAACAAAAAGAAAAGTGTGTCTCTGCTGTCACTGCTGTCACTGGTAGACAAAGTGGGCAGAGTCCAGATACGTGTTGATTAATCCCAGCAAACCAGCTGTAGCTTTACATGTGGTAGTGGATAATCCCAGCCAGCCTACACCTTTAGTTCCACTGAAGTTCAGGCTGGTTTCTGGCTGTGAGACTGGAACCCAGTTTGTTCAGTCTGTATCACCCCGTGTTTCCTGATGGCCTGAACTTGGCTCCTTGGCCTCTTGCCACTTGGCAGCCTCACTCTGACACTGAGAGTCACTAGCTGGAGCTGTCAGCCGGTTGCTCTGAGTTCTGAGCCCCACTGGGACCTCCAAGATGGCTACTGACACTTTACTGGGAATGTCTGAGCCTGCCTGACTCACCAGCCACTGCTCTGTTCCACTGGTGCGTTTCTCCATGGAGGCCTCTGGAGTCGCTAGTAGTCACTGCATCTGCAGGTTCAAGATGCCCCTCCCACACCGTGTGAGTCACAGCCCAGAGAGAAATCGCAGCTCGCCATCTCCTTCTGCATTGAGGCCTCTCTCTTCACTCTCCCTCTAGGCTTCAGTTCTCACTTCAGACCCTTTCCCGGTCCCAGGGGCCCACTTCTTTCCTTCTCTTCCTGACACTGCTGTATTCCAGCGTTTGGACACCAAATCTCAGAATGGCCGATTCTCTGCTGCTCACCACTCCACCATCTTGACTGGAACTTTGGAAACCAAATTTAAGGGTTACTCAGAAATTTACTTAATGCAAAGCACTTCTCAAATTTACTGTGTGTAAAACCCTTACAACTCCAAAACTTTAAGTTTTGAAATATAGTAAATTATCTATGCACAAGACTCATAAGAGTAGCAAATGGTATGGATAAATGTGGAAATTCCTCTTTATGCTTTGCAATTTATGACATAATTTTCTTTCCCTTCTCTGTCATCCATTCCTCCTCGCCCTCCTGGTTTTCTTTTACTTTCTTCTTGTTGGCAGCACCAGGAGAGGCGTTGGGGATCCCTTGGCCCATACTCTTCATGCTATTATCCCTGGAGCCCTGGAAAGCAGGTATATATTCCCTAAAAGTGGGGCAGGGAAAGTCTAATGACCTCAGTTCTAGGTGCTCATCCCTCTTTCATTAGCTCTGCTTGGCTTCTTTCAGTTGTGCATATTGAGGGTACAGCTACAGTTTTACTAGGCAAAAGGCTTTCCTTGTGAAAATCACCCATTTAGTACAATCTAGCACACAAATTTCATCCAAAATGAAGAAATTGAGGCCATAACTTCTCCAAGGCCACCCATTCTTTTCCTAGCCACAGACATTTAATGGTTTGCCATTCTACAATGGGATATATATTGGAACTGGGTCAAGGCTTTCCAGAAGTAATGGAGGTAGATGGAAAAAATCTGTAGAACTGTGCTCTCTGCTATCATTAGGGGTAGTTTTTAGGTCTCCTGCTTGCATAGAGGACCTGTGATCAAGAGAGATAGAGCATTAAATTGGATTTGATGGTACAGGTGAAGAAATCTCAGGAGGTTTCACTACAGCTTGGAGTATAAGTCCAAGCACTATAGACAACTGTTACTGAGCATTGGATATCTGCCTGTGCCTTCTTGGAATGGGACTGACAGCACCATCAGCATGTGCTTGGAAAGATGCCCACGGAAGCCTTGGAGCACCTGGAGGGGTCAATCCACACATGGCTCCGTCAGAGTAATCTGTGTATTAGCTTTTCATGACTGGAACCCAGTACCCAGCAAACACAACTTAAAGGTGCATGATTCTGGAGGTTTCGTCTATGGGAGGCTGGCTCCACAGCAGAACCTCCTGGTGGAAGGGTGTTGCAGAGGACAGCTGCTCAACCCACGGCAGCCAGGAAGCAGAGAGAGCAGGAGGAGCCAGAGAGAGGGGAAGGCTGGGAACAGGAGAGACCCTTCACAGCCTCAGTGACCTATTTCCTCCTAACAGCCCATTTGTTCCTGAGTTTACTGGTACATTTTAGGTATAGAGTGCAGTTACATTCATCACTGGGATCTTGTACCTTTACATGACAGGTCTTGGTTCTCATTTTTTCCCTCTTGTCCCTGCCCTCCCTTCGCCCCCTCCTCCCCTCCCCATTTACAAACACTT